ATGTTTCTTCTGCGCTTAAAGCTTTCTGAGCTATCCTGTGCTCTTGGGACAAGCCAGGCTTCTGCGAGGCCCTTTGAAATTGGAGCCCGTCCACTCGCTAGCCTCACCTGTCCCACCCCAGCCCTGCCTGGCAGCCTCACAGACCTACCTTCTATCCTGCAGACCTGACATTCCCTCTCCTCCCTCCACGCCTTTATCTGAGCTCTTTCCTCTGTCTGGAATGTTGCCCCCTTCTCTCCACTGTCATCCTCCACGATCTTGTTTCAGCTTCGCCTCCTCCAGGAAGCCTGCCCTGACTCGCCAGCTAGTCGTGTCTACCTGGATCTTCTGTCTACAGAAAAATAATGCCACCTTCTGCAGCTTGCCTTCTAAGGACCCATGTCTCTGCTTTGACTCTTCCTCACCCTGTGGCCATGGGCCAGTCCGTAGTTTCTCCGTCTGCTCCTTCTCCACTTCGGGCTTCCCCGCCTCATGGGTTGTTAAGAGAATGACATGTGCTGAAAGGGAGCCTCATCATCACCTGGGGTCGGCAAACGCGGGGCTCATTTCATCTCCAGGAGGTAAGCAGTTAAATCCTCATCCCAGCCCTGCTTACAGCGGTTGGGATTCTGTGGGTCTCGGCAGGGCCCCAGAATCTGCTAAGTGTCCCAAGTGAGTGCGGGGTGGGAGGAGGGAATCCACACTCCGTGCCCTCACCCCGGAGCCGTGTCGTTGTGGCCCGTGCGGCGAGGCTCGGTGCCTGGGTGCTGTGCCAGGGGCCCTAGAGCCTGGAACAGCTGCTCTCATTCATGCAAAGAAGGCGCCTAGGTTTGCCCTGTCTATTTATATCTTATTTATGAAGAAGGAAAAACAAGGGCCCTGTTGTCTTAGCAACCAGAAGTATTTTTTTACAATGGGAAGATGGCCAAGTCTCCCTGTGGGGGACACCCCTGGCTGTGTGTGTGTCCTGACAGAGGATGGGATGAGTTTTTCAGGGCCTATTCCATTCGGGGTTCCTAACAGCCTGCAGGGTGGGGGAAGGTGCTTGCCAGGCCCTTAGAAGTGCAGGCTGATGCCCCCTCTGGTCTCCTGGTCTCGGTTCTAACCCCTGTCTTCTGGGTGCCCACCCTCCTGCTTCGGGCCCACTCGGGAACCCTTTCCTGGCTGTGGTCTGGCACATGTCCCTTAGGGTATTTGACACAGTGAACTGGAGGTCTGGTTCCCAGACCAACACCCCTCAAGGCTGTGATCTGGCACAGAGCTGGCACAGAATGAATGAGTGAATGAACGAAGTGCTCTACAGTTTGCACGGTGTGCCCGCATTTAGTGGCCACGAGGTAAAGGAAACTGTCATGTTCTCCCATGTTACAGACGAGAAAATGGATGAGGAGAGTTGAGGAGACCAGCCTGTGGCGACGTGACTGGGATGAGCATCTTAGAGGTGGAAACGTTGCTTTCTGTTCTGCCAAAGCCTCGGGGAACAGGGGTACTTTGGTCTCAGCTGGGACGTAATTGCAGGGGCGTCTGGGACGTGGTGCTGTGTCTGCTTGGGGGCTCGCGGGGTGTGGTTTGAATCTCGACTCTGTCACTTATCAGCTCTGTGACCCTGAGCCAATAACTTTAACTCCCTGGGCCTCAGGTGCCTCATCTGTGAAGTGATACAATGACGCTCGGTCCTTAGGGACCGCTAGCTTCCTGAGGGCAGGCACTGGGTCTGTCTCTTGGTCATCTGTTTTCCTAGTGTCTGGCACATTCTAGGTGCCCACGATGATGATCGATGATCGTGTGTGTGGTTAGAACAGGACTCAGGCCATTGGATACTCTTAGGGAATGTTGGCTGTTACCGTATTATTAGGAACCGAGGCACGGAGAGCCTGATGGCTCCCTTGAGGTCACATGGGCAAATCCAGAGCAGAAGTGGTGCCTTTACTGGCCAGATGGGTTTGGTGGCACTGCCAGGGATTAATGGGACTGTGCCCAGCCCCTGGGGAGGGCATTCATGGCTGGGCTGCAGTCCCAGGGGTTAGCAGTCTTGTTGGACAGGGAGGCTGAAGCGGGAGTCTCTGAGCGCTGGGGACCTAGAGCTGTCCCACACGCTGGCAGTGCCAGGCCCTGCCCTAGGCTGACTTGGCTTCAGGCTCTGCCTCTTTAGGGACAGTCCCAGGCTCCCTAGAGGCTCTCTGTCGCCTTCTGCTGGGCTCCGGTGACCTCTGCTGAGCCACCTCCAGATGCCTTAGGCGATGCCACCACCTCAGCTCTGTCAAGTGTGAAAACCATACCAAAGAGACCCAGTTAAGAAGACAAGTGCCCCAGGGACAAACCGAGGTAACAAATCATTTCCACATCCTTCCCTGGCTCCTCCAGCTCCAGCAGGAAGCAAGTGCCCCTGTACCATCCTCTGGGGGCTGCAGCCCGCCCTGCTTACTGTCTCTGCAGCCACATGAGACTCATCACTGTTTCCTGAAAGCAATACATGCCCGGGGGTTTTTGTTTGGTTGTGCTTGTCTTACCCCAAGTTTTGCTCATGTGTCTGTCCCTCCTGCCTTCTCACCCCATGAACTCACACTCTGTCCTTCTGAGCCTCTAGGCTTCTGCAGCCCCCGACCCCATGGCGTGCTGCCTCCACCAGCCCTGAGCACACTGGGCTGTGAGTCTTTCTGGGGACTTCTCTCTTCTCCTGGACTGTGGACTCGTGAGGTCTATGAGTCTGCTTGGGCTGCCAAAAGGAAGTACCGCAGACTGGGTGGCTCGAACAACAGAAATTTATTGTCTCGATAAGTGGCTAGAAGTCTGAAATTGAGCTGTCAGCAAGGTTGGTTCCTTCTGGATGGTGTTTCAGGCCTCTTGCCTAGCTTCCCGTGGTTTGCTGGCAACCTCTGACATTCCTTGGCTTGTAGAAGCATCACCTACCTCTGCCTTCATGTTCACATGGCGTTCTCCCTTGCAAGTCCGTCTCGAAATTTCTGCTTTCTACAAAGATGCCAGTTATGTTGGAGTAAAGCCCACTCTAATCATCTCATTTCAATTTGATTACCTCCGTAAAAACCCTCTCTCCAAAAAAGGTCATATTCTGATGTCCTGGTGGTTAGGATCGTAACATATGAATTTTGAGGTGACACAATTCAACCCATAACATGATGGGAGGAAGTACATCTGATGGTTCATCTCTGTGTTCATTCTGTCAGGGCTGAGCCCAGAGCGGGGTGAGAGAGTTTGCTAAGTGCTGTAGAGGCCATCTTTCATTCTATAATTATTTACTGACCCCACGGTGTCCAGGTATGTTGACCTGTCCTGTCTAGGTCTTCTGAAGTTGAGTCTCATTAGGAAGTGGATTTCTCTAGAGCAGAGCCCAAGTCTTTTTACTTCTTATATTCACCAGAGTAGAAAGTTGGTAACACAGGAAATATTCAAACTTTTTCACCAGTAGATTCCTGTGGAGGCAGGTGTATGAGGCTTCATTTTTTTAATCCACACAAAAGACCGAGAGAAATAATGCAAGAGAATTCAACCTTTGAAAAATATTTATTGAACACATAGTTGTGACGGACATTGGTTCTAGGTGATCAGGATGCATCCATCCATTCATTCATTCATACCTAGAAACATGTCTGATATATAGTAGGTGGTCAATAAATATTTGCTGAGTAAGTTAACTCCTTCCACAGTTATCGAGGCTGTCATTTACTTGCTATGCAATGTGAGCAGGTTACTTCACTTCAATAAACCTTAATTTCCATCAGTAATATGAATTGAGTTACACAGCTATTTCTTAGGGTTGTTGGCAGGATTAAATAAATGTATTAACAATGATAATTATTTATTCAGAAGCTGTTATGCTCCAGGATGGATGTTTTTTCATGTACAATGTTCAATTCTCATAGCAGCCTTTTAAAAATTGAAATAAAATTAACATAGCATAAAATTTATCATTTAAAAATGTTCAATTTAGTGGGTTTTTTTTTAGTATATTCGCAATGTTGTGTAAGCGTTACTTTTACTTGATTCCAGAACATTTTCGTCACCCTCAAAAGAGACTCCATACCCATTAAACAGCCACTCCCTAGTTTCTTCACCCCTCCATCTCCTAACAACCACTAATTTACTTTCTGGCTGAATGGATTTGTCTAGTAAGGACATTTCATGGAAATGGAACCATACCATATGTGGCTTTTTGTGCCTGTCTTCTTTCACCTGGCACAATGTTTTTAAGGTTCTTCTACATTGTAACCTGTATCAGCACGTCATTCCTTTTTATGGCTGAATAATATTCTATTGTATGGATGTACCACATTTTGTTTATCCATTCATCAGATGATGAACATTGTCTCTATTATTCGGCTATTATGAGTAATGTTTCTATGAATTTTGTGTATGAGTTTTTGTAAACATGTTTTCATTTCTCTTGTGTATATACATATAAGAGGAATCCTGGGTCTATGTTTAACTTTTGGAAGAGCTGCCCAATTGTTTTCTGGAGCAGCTGCACCATTTTACATTCCCACCAGCTGTACATGAAGGTTCTAATTTCGCCATACCCTCGCCAACACTTGTTATTATCTGTCTTTCTTATTATAGTCATCTTAGTGGTTGTGCAGTGGTATTGCATGTGGTGTTGATGTGCATTTCATAATGACTAATGATGCTAAACATCTTTTCATGTGCTTCTTGCTCAATTCACAGCAGCCTTTCGAGGTAGCTGTTACTTCCATTTGACAGCAGAGGAAACAGAATCAGAGTTGAGAAGACTTGCTCAATGCAAGGAGGCAGTGGGCTGTGTCTGGAACGTGCGTGTATTTGTTTCCAAAGCCCCATGGAGCTGAATTAACAGTAGAAACAGCTCTGATCTGGAGGAGCTGTCTGCAGGAGGCCTGGTCTCTGGTGCGTCCACCTTGGACAATTCCTTTCCCGGCTCCAGGAGTCAGTTTTTCCTCCGCGCCACTTGGGGCGTTATACTCCAAACACCTCCGGGCTCCTCTAGTAGCCCGCAACTCCTAAGACCAATCGCCTTAGCGCCGACTTTGCCTCGCCCCTTCAGCTCAGGTCGCCAGCGGCGCCGGAAGTACTCGGCTCTTTTTCTTTGCTCCCGCCTCCGGCCCCGGAAATACTTTCTTAAGAAGATGGCGGCTGTGTCAGTGTATAAGCCACCGGTTGGAGGTTTTTCTTTTGATAACTGCCGCAGGTGCGACCATGCGCGCGGCCGGGTTCAGGGCGGGAGCGGGAGTGCGGTGCCGGGGTTGGCGCTGGGCCGTGGTCCGATCTGAGAAGTCCAAGGGAAGGGTGGACGGCGGAGCCTGCGGCTCGCGGCCCCTGTGACTCAGGGGAATCAGGGCCTGAGCGTGGGTTCTCCTGAGGCCAGGTCTGCTCTCCCACTTTCCAGCGCGCTTGGACACCCTCCTTTTCTGTCTATTTAGGCGAGGTTCTGCTCCTTTCTGACGCTCTCTTTGCTGAGAAAAACGGGGTCATAGTCCAGATGTTGGGAGGATTGAGTGAACAGATGGGCGAGAAAATAAAATAGTATGTTCTTTTTCCTAGTTCCCTGTTAGGTACCCTTCCTGCCAGTCCGGCGCAATGGGAGCTTGCCTTTCAACGCTTTATTCTCTCATTTGCTCTTAGAAATGCCGTCTTGGAAGCCGATTTTGCAAAGAAAGGGTACAAGCTTCCAGCAGCCCGGAAAACTGGCACAACCATTGCGGGGGTGGTCTATAAGGTAAGCCGGGACAGGCCAAAAGTAGTGACTGAACTGATTACATGAACCAGGCTTCCTTTACTTCTTTGGGCTCTGTTGGGAACGGCTCGTGTTACAGAGACATCAAGAAATGATCCTTTAAGAGAGACTTTGTTAGGTTTCGTGCGCTTTATCAACAGTTTATATTCTCGCTTGGCGGAGTTTTTGACAGTAGGCCGATTTACTTTTCTCTCTTGTTATTACATTAGAAAGCAGGATGATGTAATGGGAGAATAAAAGGCTTGAGGTCAGACAGGTCTATTTAGCCAGTTAACTGATATGCTGCTTCCAGCTTTGGGCAAGTCACTTTCCTTCTCACAGCCACACTTTCTCTGTCCATCAGATGGACATAGTAACTCCGTCCTTAAATTGTTGTAAGGGTCAAAAGCGATAATGATTATTGTCGTTAAAGGTAAAGAGTGTCATCTTTTTAAAAAAAAGAAATTGACAGATGGCTATTTTAATAGGATTTCTGTGTCTTAATCCAGACTTTCCCATATTACCTCTGATTCATAAGGAATTCACTGAATCTCTGAGTTTTATTTGAAAACAGGAATGATCATTTTTATCACCTACTCAGGATTCAACCAATAACTTTTGTTAATAAACTTCTCCTTGAATTCTGAAAGTATAGCATAATATTTTTGATAGGAGTTTTGGTGTGTGGGTGGGTAGATGTTGGGGGACCAGGGGATGGCCAACATTGTTTTCCCTAAACTGAAGTAGAGATCTGTGGTTTATGTATGTAAGCTTGTTTAAAAATATATATTTTTTAAAAATAGGATGGCATAGTTCTTGGAGCAGATACAAGGGCAACTGAAGGAATGGTTGTTGCTGACAAGAACTGTTCAAAAATACACTTCATTTCTCCTAACATTTAGTAAGTATTGATTAGTTTGAATAACTTCTGTATTTTCAAACGTGTCAGGGCTAAAATTGAATTTACTGTTTCTCCCTAAAACCTTTTGTTCAATCTATTTTCTGTCTCGCTTAAATGGTATTTTATTCACCTGTCACCTAAGCTATTCATCCTTAAATCCTCTCTTTGCTATAGTCTTCAATCCAGTTGGTACTCGGTTATGTCTTCTGTGTGCTTTTTAAATCCATTCCCTCCTATCCTTCCCTCTGCCGAGACCTTAATTTGGATTTTGTTCTCAGGAGGACTATTGCAGCTGTCATTTAAATCGCCCGTCTGCCTCTGGACTCTTCTCCACCTCTATTGTTCATTTTTCTGTCACAGTGGATTTTGTAAAACACAGATCTGATTATGTCCCTTTCCTCTTTAGAAACTTTTCAAGTGACTTTGCGCATTTTTACACTGCTCTCAGGATAAAATCGAAACTCTAGAGCATGATATTTAAGGTCTTGCGCAAACTCACAAAAAGCCTACTTAGCTGCCATCATCCCTGTTCCCGTTACAGCTGGACTGTCCCTGTTTCCCTCATGTCCCTATTCCCTTCCTCTCCGAGCTGTTTCCCCTTTGCAAATGCCGGCCCCTCTGCTTAGAAATGTCCTTTTCTGTTCTCTGCTTATAGTCTTTTTATTCCTCCAAATTCAGCTCATAGGAAACTGCTCAAAGATCAGAATTAATTGCTTTCTCCTCCAATTTCCCATAACATTTTGTACCTGCGCTACTATGTTGTGTTATACAAGGCATAATTTTTGTTAACTTGTATCTCTTCCGCTCAACTTTGAAATCAAGAGCTAGGACTTTGTTATGTTTTCTTTATTCTCAGCACTCAGGTGCAGTGACTGGCACCTGGTATTAAATACTTGGTAAATGTTAAATTGCAAGAATAGTAACATGCTTTATCCTTTTGTACAACTTAGCTGTAACTGTAGAATTAATAAAATGTACTCTTTTAGGTGCACAGAAACTAGTGATTTCAAATGCTTCATTGAACCATAGAAAGTATATTGGCATATAATTAGATGTGTATGTTCAATTTTACGTTTATTTAAGATTGTTTAGAGAGCAGTTAATGGTGCAGATATACTCAAAAACATCTCTCTATGCACCTGAACTACATGGAAGTTATCCAGGAAGCTCTACTGTTAATTGAGCTCTCTGGCGATTGAATTACAGCTCGCTTGCTATTGTATTTTTTTAGTTGTTGTGGTGCTGGAACAGCTGCAGACACGGATATGACAACCCAGCTCATTTCTTCCAACTTGGAGCTCCACTCCCTCTCCACTGGTCGCCTTCCCAGAGTCGTGACGGCCAATCGGATGCTGAAGCAGATGCTTTTCAGGTAAGATTTCAGAATGAGAATTTCTGTAACATCTTTTGCAGCCAAGGGAAGCCCAGACGTTGAGAGAAAAAGCATTCAGTAATACTCATTATATTTTAGAAATGAATTGTTACTAAAAAGCCGTTTTAATTTCATGAGGCTTTTGATAATAGATGTGGATTTATGGGGTCTTTTTTTTTTTTTTTTAATGAGTAAATCACGTGCGACCAGTTGAGTCATTTCTTGAGGCATAGGTATATTACTGGATTAAAAAAAATATTTTTGTTCATAGGAAGAAAGTTAGAGCCGGAAGGAACCTTTGAGTCATTTGCAAACACACAAGCAAAAATGATTTTTTTCTCCCCCTTTCAAGGGAGAAAAGCAACGAAGTGAAAAATAACAATATTAACCAGTATTTATCTCTTTGTGTCAGGCCCTGTCCTAAAGTGCTTTTTGCATGATCTCATTACATCATTTGAATGCTGAGATAGGGGCTCCAATTTAAACTAATTGAAGCTTAAAGACATGCAGTCCCTTGCCTGGCCTTCACTCCCTTCTGTCTCTCACAGACAGTTCCTCTTAGTTTAATTTCTCTCCTCCTCAATAATCATATCATCACTTTATAGTCTTGACAGATTTCACTTTATAAGTCCATTTTTTCATTTGCTTCTCATGAAGAGAGGCAGTATATAATAGAGGAAATAGCCTGGGTAGTTAGTCTTGTCTTGGAATACTGGCTTCTCCTTTTGGGACCTGCCTTGCCTTTAACAAATTCTCTCCTCTTTCCTTTGTGGAATGTGCGCATCACGGTCCTTTTTTTTTTTTAGTTGACCAGAGATCTTTATTCTGGTCCTCCACATTCGTTAAGCAACTTACACGAAACATTTTCTTTATCTTTTCCCCAAGCAGCTGCCTCCAGGCCTGTGACAATTAAAGAGTAGCAGGAATAGAAAGCACATATTGTAAACTGGCAGCTCAAGAGGTCATATTCAGCTTGTAGAGAAATTTTATTTGGGTCACATAGTGGTTTAAAAAAAAATAGTGGCCAGTAATTATAAACTGGGAGATTTGAATTAAAAATTTAGATTTCTGGCTTCTTTGGGGGAAAAAAAATCAGAAAGCGGGTGGGGTAACACATGGCAGTAATATTCTGGAACTGGTAAATGCTACATTTAGACACGGGAGCGTGTGTCTGGTCTGTGAGTCACTGCCCCTTCCCGCTGTTTCCTGCCCATCCCTTGCTTTCCTATAAATTTGCAGGTCTTCATCTGTGAGTCTAGCGTGGCACCTGGATTCTCAGTAAGTGTGTATGAAGTTGAATGTAGCTGCAGCAGCAGTAGTATAGTAGTTACCATTTTACAGGTGAGGAGACCAGGACTTATGAATCATATGGTCAGAAAGCATAGTCATAGCCACCTAATTCTTGCTCTGGCTGTACCAAGTGCTCATGTCAGTGCTTTCCATTTATTTATGTACATCATCATCATCCTAGACCTGGAGAATTATTGCCTATGAAATAAACTCTCCCAGTACAGTATGAGAACTTGTTTTAGCACATGTCAAGATTTCTGAAGACATTTTTGATTTTGATTTTAAATACAGTGCTCCCTCTGCTGGTTTGTGTGGTGCATTACATTTAAAACAAATTTTTAATTGGAAAATTTCAGTAAGTAGAGTATTTAAAGATTGCTTACAGTGTCATTTAAAGCATTTAGTTAAATCTAACATATGTTTCTGTTAATCTCTTTAGGATGTTTAAGGAATTCTAGATTATTTTTTCAGTGTTTTTTTTTTAGTTTATTATATTTTGTAAAAGTTAAATTTCATGGAAGTTGTGAGAGGAATATTTAAAAATTTAATCCAGGATAATTTTTGTCCTTTATGTCTTCTAACATTTTTGTTGAGTTACATAAAATGAGTCAGCGCTTTAAGGAAAAAAAGCACAGGATTTGACTTTAGAACTTTGGTTCGAGTCCTGTCTCCAGCACTTACAGCTGTGTGACCTTGGGCTGTTCACCCCACTTTTCTTAGCCTCAGTTTCTTCCTCACTAAAATGGGGATAATAGTTTCTGTGTCTTTTGACTTTTGAGGAGGAAATGAAAAAAGAAGCAAGGCTACAACAGCGCCTTGTACAGGGCCTGCTTCAGTTAGATCATCAAATTCAGAAGCCGAAGAAGAGTATGAGGTGTACTCTTGCTGTTACTGTATCTTTTTTCCCCTCCTGAATAACCCGTTTCCTGTTATGTGGATCAGCGAGAAAAGAGGGTTTGATAAACAGGTGGACTTTTATTTCCTTATTTAAATGAGAAATACTTTATTTTACTTTGTGAGAGCTAGATGTGCATGATGTGATAGTTGTTCCTTCTGAGCATGGGGCCTCTTTGTTTGGTCTAATAGAAATCTTTGTGATACACTGTTCTCTTATTCTGGAAACTATGTGAACACATAGAGGCTCTTTTAAAAATTTTATTATATTGCGCATTTTTTTCCTTATGAAAGTAACACATACTCATTGTAGAATATTTGGAAAATACTGAAAAGTCCAAAGAAAAAACTAAAAATTTTGCCATTCAGGGAGAATCACATTTTGGTTGGATGTATATACTTCTAGTCTTTTAAGTTCCTTTATTTGTTCGTTCTTTCCATCTTTCTTTTCGTATACTCATACATGTTCACAGTAGAAAAAGCTAGAAGATATGGTAAAGTAAAAAAATGTAGAAATTATCTGGATTCCTACCACCCATAAGCAATTGGTGCTAGCAGATTATACCCTTCAAGGTTTTTTCTGTGTTTAATAATACATATTTTGTTCTGTAATGTGATCGTAGTTGTACATAAACTAATATTTTCATGTACCAGGGCATCTTGAATGGTTTCCGTGTTGGAGCATTTCAAAATGAAAATAGTCTTTTAAAACATTATTTAAAAAGTAATGTATGATCATTGTAAAAAATCCAGGCATATAGAAAAGTGAAAAGAAGGAAGTAAATGTTACCTGATGATCTGCCATTTAGACACATACATTGTAAATCTTGAGATTTTTTTCAGACCTTTTATATGACACATAATATATGCTACTCTATGCATTTGCAAAAATGGAATCCTGCTGTAGGTGTTTTGTAACCGATCCTGTGTATTGTGACTATTATTCCCATCAGTAGAATAGCTCAGCATCCAGGGTTTTTACCTAGAGTCCATGGAGGTGTTTTTGGAGATCTGTAACCCTCCTGAAATAGTAAAAAACTTTTTTTATGTACGCTTATTATGGGGTTGAGCTCCACAGTTTTAATAGGTTTTTCAAAGAAGCCTTTGACCCATAAAAGTTTAAGAACCATTGATGAATATCATAATTTTTGATGATATCACAGTATTCCATTCTGTTAACCAGTTTTTGAACATTGACAACGTTACTCGTTTTAAGGTATTTAAGGTATTGTCACCCTTTGGAACACAGAACCTTTGGATACTTGTGTGATCAGTTCCTTAGGCTATATTCTAAAACAAATTCCTAGAAGTGGAATTGCTGGGTCAAAGATGTGCATATTTAACATTTTGATACATTTTGCCGAAACTATCCTTGAGAAAGATTATACTAAGTTGCACTACTGTCAGTAGTGGGTGAGAAAATGTAGCATGGTTTTTCATGTTTGTGTAGTGTTCTGTTGTATAGCTGTATCAGTTTAGCTAAGTCTTCCTCTGACTGTTCCCACTTTTCTAACATCAGAAACAATACTGCAGTAAACATATTTGTGCATTCGTTTTTGCATATTTGTCCTATTATATCCTTAGAATCAGACTCCTGGAGGTAGAATTTCTGCATCAGTTTTTAAGGATTTCAGTAACTTGCCAAAATATCTCAGACTCTTTTAAAGGCATCAAACAGACATATTTTAGTTTGAAGGGAAGTAGCTGATAATTATTGACTTTATTTAAACACCTTGTTTGGTAGGTAGTTGGTGTAGTGGATCAGGCAATGGACTGGGGTGGGAGTGGTGGGTCTAGTGATTCTGGCTTCTCATCCCAGAGCCATGGAATGTCGTCTTGACCTTGCTGCTAGCTCATGTGCCTTAGAACCACCTTCTTCCCCTGTCAGGGCCCTTTCTTGTTGAGGCTTCTTCTGAAATCTTTTCCCGCTTTTTAATTTTTCACTTATAAATAGAAGATTATTTCTGAAATAACAATTCGGCACTCAAGGTACACAGGAAATATTGGACTTGACTATTCTGTTTACCTAGAATGCTTCCTGATGGGTAGCTTTATCTCAGACAATCTAAAGTTATGACTTTGATTGGTTCTTGTGTTAATTATTTCAGTTTTAATGATTATATAATTAGGCAAATTCCACATGTGTTGGTTTCATTTTTCTTTTCTTCCCAATGAGCTAAAGGCTCTCAGTGGAGAATTTTAAATCCAGTATATTTATCAAGCGTAGCAATTCTAATGGTAAACAATTGAACCAAATACAGGGAAAGCAATCTATAGAAGTGAAAAACCAGCCAGGTAAAGGGTCCAAAGGAGCAAATATGTGCACAATTAAACAGAGGCGGGAGTGAGGTGGGTTGGAAAATGTATTCCTGTCCATGTTCCTGAGAGGTATAGCTTTATCCTGTGGGCGGTAGCAATGGGTTTTATAGGCTCTCATGGAGTTATTTCATCATTTGCTTCCCTGAATGATGAAATACTTTTCTCTTTTACTCAGTATGAGCTCATATTTATGATTATACTTTTCTGAATTTCTTTAAAGGGAAGGTGTTTTGACCTTAGCCATTTTCCTGTGAGGCTGTGGTGAGGCTGATAATTTGAACAGCTTGAGTTTAGCAACTCATTGTTAACTTGGGAGCTCATCTACTGATCACGGAGAAGTGGATGGGAAGGATGCTGATAATCTTTGCAGTAAGCAAAGCTTGGCTCTGAGACAAGTACTTAATGTCTTTGGGTTGGTTTTATCTCCTCTGAAGTGAGAATTACAGAGCCCTTTTAAAGGGGGACGTGAGACTGAGATGAAATAAGGTAGTGGAGTGCCTCATACGATTTAGTTTTTTTTGGCCGATAATAGATTTGAACTAAAGTTCATTCCATTCCCCATTTTGTTCCCATCAAAACAGTAACCACTTAATGAAACACTAGCAGTGTAAGAAAAGCTTTGTATTTTCTGATTTCTCATATAGCTTTTGGTTAAGTTACAGTGATATAATGTGGGCTCTTTTTTTTTTTTTTCCTCTCTCTTATGCATACTCTGATAACCAGGTATCAAGGTTACATTGGTGCAGCCCTAGTTTTGGGGGGCGTAGATGTTACTGGACCTCACCTCTACAGCATCTATCCTCATGGATCAACTGATAAGTTGCCTTATGTCACCATGGGTAAGTGTAATGTTTCCCTGATTCAGAATCCTCTTATTCACCAAGGTGGTCTGTTAAAAAGCTGGTCGATTTCCTGTTAGAGGAGACAGTTCAGTGCAGTGCTTCGATTCATCCTACAAATAGTTATTGAGCTCTTCTTATTAGTTGGGCCCTGTTCTTTGTGCTTGGGATATAACAGTGAACAAAAGTTTGATAAAGATTCTTGCTTGCAAGGAGTTTATTTTTTAGTGAGAGTGGACAATAACAACAGCTACTATAATATCACTTTTTAGTGATAAATACCAGGTGAAAAAATGCAGGTGATATTGTATCACGGTTATGCAAGATATTATCTTTGAGGGGAACCGGCTCAGGGGTATATGAGAACTCGATATATTATTTCTTAACATCTGCATGTGAATTTATAATTATCTCAAAACAAAAAGTTAAAAAAAATTAATGCAGGGTGAGGGGACTTGCAGTATTGGGATGGAAGGCAGACCCGTGTGTTGAATGGAAGGCCACAGCAAGTCTTGTAAAAAGGTTTGAATAGGTGAGCCTCCTGGGCAGCGGGAGGGCCAGAGTGGAGGCCTCGCTGAGGGAACGGGCCTGGCACATGCAGATTTTTTTCTTTAAGCTGGAGTGACCGGAGTCCCCCTTTACCACTTAATCTCTGAGGGATCATGGGCATTTAATTTCTTTCTGAATCTCGACTTCTCATCTGTGAAATGGTATCAAAAATAGTCCCATGCGTACCAGGTTATAATGATTAGAAATAATGTATATAACATCTGGTCCAGTGCCTGGCCTATAAATAGTAGTTACTCTTTTTAGATCAGCTTTTTACCTTTGTATTTTAGCTCTAAGTGCTAGATAAAAATATTTTTTAATGAACCAAAAAAGTGATAAATCTATATTTAGAAGAATTGGAATTTTTAAGTTCTAGCTTTTATGTTAAATTTCTGAGTCAAATTGTATAGGTCCAGAAATTCGAATAGGCCATGTGTAGCTGGCGGTTTTCCAGCTATTGCTTACCTGTTACATTTTTTTTGTCATGGTACCTTGGCTCTGCAGAGCTAGGAACACTGCTGCCTTGAATAGTTTGGAAATTGCCAGTTTGAGACTTTGCTGTTCCATTGTCTTATGCAGCCTTTAAGAAGGTTTTTATACAACAGATGTTCCCTGTTTGTGGGGAGAGTGATTTACCCCCAGATACCATATGGATGAATCTTTGCAATTATTTTAAAATGAAGATACTTATAGTAATTTTAGAATCGTTCTGAATTGCTTTATTCATATGTATTTGTTATCTTGATGAAAGTACTATTTCTCTCCATCTGATGCATTTACATATAAAGGTGGAATAGCCTTTTCTGTTAAGTACTTTTCCTCTTTTTTTACTTAAAAAATATTATACTTGCAGAAAAGTAACAATGTACAATGAACAATCCTATATACCCTTTATTCATATTTCTCAATTAACATTTTACCATATTCTCTCACATTATTTTTACATTATTATATGTTTTCATTGTCTCACACGTTATTATTATTACTAACTTTTTGTGTGTGGAACCATTTCAGAGTAAATAGCAGATATCATAACCCTCCACCTTTAAATCTTTTAGTATCTTGTCTTAAATCATCTTAGTAAATCACCGATTTCTGGAAATTTAATATTGATATGGAGCAGTTTCATTTTTAAGACTGGAAAATTGAATTGGTTTCTTTTGCTTTTGAACTGTAGTAATTTATGAGCATAATTCTGAATTTAGGAAAAGTTGTCGAAAGTGACTGGTCCAGCAGATTTGTGTCTGTGCCCGCAGACCCCACTCTGTGCTCTGTCCTGGCGAATGGCGTCTTGCATTTCTCTAAGTCTGTGTGAGTCCAGGGTAAAGGTTCCAGAGCTTTGAGTTTATAGCACAATTCTCTTTAGAAATCATTAGTCCACACATTCTAGTTTTGCTATCTTAAGAGACCAGATTGAGAAGACTATGATATCAGTAACATCTGATTTTAATACATGAGTAAATTTTTACTTTGAGGTTTAATTTGTTCATTTATTCATTTTCACCCATTACTTGAGGGCCCTCTGTGTAAAGGCGCTGGAGCAGGCTCCACAGATAAAGGTGAATGTGTGGCTTCTTGCCCTCAATATACTCAGTATAATGGGGAGACAGATGTATAAACTGACAAGGGTGATGGCCCAAGGGAGAAAGGGTCACATCTAAACTGGAGGATTTCAGGAAAAGCTTCACTTCACTTGAATTCAATCTTAAAAGAAGAATAAATTACTTTCGTTTATTTATCAGATTTTTTTTTAGCATCTACTATGTGCTAGGCCCTGTGCTGGGTGCTGGGAATATAGTGGTCAACGTAGCACCTGCCCTCAGAGCATATAGCCTTATGTAGGAGACAGGAATCAAACAGGTAAATATACATTAATCTAAAAGAATGCACTGTGCTAAGTGCCTTGGAGGAAAAGAACAGTAATAGGAGAGAATAACAGGAAGGAGCATATGGATAATGGGTGTTTGGGAAGTCTTTACTAGTCAAGAGACATTAAAACATTTTCTAATGAAAGTAATTTATAAAGTCGACAAAATGTTCAAGTGGGAAAAAATATTGCATGAAAATTAAGTCTCTTATTTCATATTCCTCCACTAAAGTAACCAGTTTCTTATGTGTTCTTTTTTTTCCCCTAGAAAATGTTTTATGATACACCTTCAGATATCTCTATCATTTGTCATTTATCTCTCTATCCCTATTAGAAAGACACAGATGAGGTCATGTTATACATACTATTTCCTCACCGTTAACTTGTCTTGAAGAAGTTTTTGTATCAGCGCATGTAGCTCTATATCTTATCTTTGATAACGGCTGCATAGAATTACATGATATGGCTGTACCATGACCCATCCGCCTATTGACGGATATTTTGGTTTTCGGATTTTTGCAACAGATGTGTCTTGGTGTATTTGTGTAAGTACATACTTCAGATAAATTCCAAGTAGTGGCCTTTCTGGCTAGGGTGTGTGCATGTATTGCTGAGAATTCCCTGTTGCAAGCATTGGAATCACCAGAGGATTTAAGGAAAAGGGGAATTATTTTAAGGGATGGAAGGAGGCTCACAGAATAGCTGGGAGGGCAGGAACTGGGTTTGGGGCCAAGAACAGTGTCAGAAGTCATGCTGCAGGATGGGCCGTTGTGGGCGAGGACAGAATGCTCCCGACCGCTGACATAGCTGGTGCTGGGCGCTGGCTTGCTACGCATTCTCCCGCCCCGGCTGCTGCAGGAACCGGGTCTTCCTGCTGTCTTGCTCACCGCCAGAGAGCTCCTTACGGGGGAGAGTGGGTTCTTCTGATGCTCAGTCACCCACTCATAAGGCCAGGGGGTTCCCCAGACGTAGGAAGGAGGAACGGCTGCTGGGCAGCCCAGTAAAGTGGCAGATGGCCATGCAGCATGTTTTACCTTTTGAGAGCTACTGCCAAATTGCCCTCCAGGAAGATTGCACTAGTTTATCCCCCCACCAAGAGAATGTGAGGATGCTGTTCTCTTACAGCCTCACCAGTACTGGGTACTCTTGCCAATCTGGTGGGCGAAAGATGGGAAGGAGTCACACAAGCTGAGACCTGGAGGATAAGTAGAGATTAACGAGGGGTTTGCGTCCCCACTCTCTTCCCCCATGGGAAAGACTTTTCAGGCCCTGTGGTGTACAAGGGACTGGTGTGGTCAAGAAACTGAAAGGCCAGAGTTTGCTGGGTGGGCGAGGCAAGTGCAGTGGGTGGGGGAGCGTTCCATGCTAAGGGCGCAGCAGAAGCAAAGACATGGACGTCCAGGGAAGGGGAACAGAGGGGAGGCTGGGAAGCAAGCCGGAGAGGGTCCTGATCATACAGCCTGAGTTGTTTTGATTTTGTCCTGGAGGTTTCCATCTAATGTTTTCAAGCCAAGAAATGAGAGGGTAACATTCGCTTGTTAGAAAGAACAGTCCGACAGCTGGAGGGAGGAGGATTGGCATGGGGAGTCTGGAGGCAGAGAGGAAGATTACAGCTGGCCAGATGTTGAGGGCGTGGATGAGTCCAGGCAGTAGGAATGGCCACTGATAGTAGAGGGATCACTCAGAAACCAGCCCGCGGTTAGACTAGATTCCGGGTCTCTGTCATCCGTCCTCTCCTGTCTTCCTTAGTGCTCATCTCTGTGGCTCTTGACCGTGGTGGTGTTGGAGTAACTCCTCCGCCTGGGGCCACCTCCTTTCTGGTTGGGCTCTGGACCCTTTTTCGGGTCCCTCTTGTATAGCAGGCCCCCACTGATCAAACAGGCTTTCACACCACAGCGCTGCAGGGCTGCCTTCTCCAGAAACGCCTTTTCTGCCTGGAGTGTTCCTCCTCCTGCTCAGCCAGGTCTAGTCGGGAAGCCATTGTGACTGGCCCAGGCTCAGGTGTACGTTCCTCTCAGGGCGTTTGGTGTGAAACACAATTCCAGCCTTGTCCATACTCTGCTTTCCCCTGTCTCCCCTGCTCCTGTGAAAATTTGTGATCTCTGAGAATCAGTTTCTTACTCTCAGAGTCTCACAGAGTCCTGTGTGACTCCATGAATATTTGATGGTGAATTAATTTTCTGATCTTCTAGCTTGCTTGTGCCAAAGAATGTCTGAAACTTAGAGTTAGAAATCTTAGCTGCTGTTTCTTTTTGTGAACTGACAGTTCACAGTACCCCTGGAATAGAGGTTTAGATTGTGTTCCATTTTTGTGGCCCCAGTTTAGCACAAAGCATTGCATTTTTTTTGAGCTTACTATTAGTTTAAATTTAAAGTACATTATGGAGTGTCTCTGTGCCAGTCTGCTCGTGCTGTCACGTTATTTTCAGTTAAAATTCTATCCAAGGGATGCTGTCATTGCTATCTTATTAATGAGAAACCTGAAACTTAAATGAGATTCAGTTTGCCTCTTACTGCTCTGTCTGTAAATGGCAAAGCTGGGATTTGAACCCTTATCTTCCAGCTCCAGTAAGCCCCAGTAAAA